CAGGACCCATATGTAGGCGGGGTTGTTTTCCGTCTAGATGGGAAAAGTGTTCTCATCCTGGCTGTGTTATTTATGGATAATCATATTTATCTAGCTTCTGCAACAGAAGGCAGCCAGAGATCTGGCCAGGGCTCTGAGGTGGTGGTCCATAAGGAGCACGGTGATGGCAAAAAGCCCCACCAGTGCTTGGAATGTGGGAAGAGTTTCCCCAAGCGCTCCGTCCTGGTCTGCCACCAGAAGATCCACACTGGGGAACGGCCCTATAAATGTGGAGAATGTGGGAAAGGCTTCACAAACATCTCTTACCTGAATCATCACCAGATGATCCACACAGGGATACGACCCTATGTGTGTGGGGAATGTGGGAAGGGCTTCCATGACAGCACTCTCCCGATCATACACCAGGCAATGCACACTGGGAATGCACACCCCTACATGTGCTCAGAATGTGGGAAGAGCTTCATGCAGAACTTCAAGCTGATGGTCCACCAGAGGATTCACACTGGAGAGAAGCCCTACAAGTGCGGGGAATGTGGGAAAAGCTTTAGCCAGAGATGCAACTTGAGAGTCCACCAGAAGATCCACACTGGGGAGAGGCTTATGAGTGTTCTGAGTGTGGGGAGAGGTTTCAGAGAAGATATCATCTCCTCAAGCATCAGCAGATTCACACAGAATAGAGGCCCTTCAGCAGCGCTGAGTGTAGGAAGGGATTTAGGAAGATTTCCACTTGCATCACCCCTCAGTGGATCCACGCTGGGGAGAGCCCCTAACAGTGTCCCAAGAGTGGGAAGAGTGTCTCCCAGACATATGAAGTGCCCAAACAGCAACAGAGGCAGCAGTAAGTGCAGCTCTACAAATGCTCTGTGTGCGGGAGAAACTGTGTGCGCTGCTCCAACTCCATCCGCATTGGAGGACCCCCATGGGATGATGCACAGTGGCCCTCGTTGGGCAGAGACTTGGTGATCCATGGTGCTGCTGATCCACTGGCTGGGGGTCTCTACATCTTCCTGGCTCTGTTTGGGCACCTGGATGGAAGAGGTGCTGAAGGGGCCATGGCTGTGTACAGTGGCATGGGTCCCACGAACATGGATGGAGACATGGATGACACGGGCATGGGTGGGTGTTGCGGTGTGTGTTTTCAATTGTCATTCTGTCCCAGTAGTTATTTCTAAAACCCCTCCTATTTTGTATGGTTATAGCATATTTTATTGCCTATGGGTTGTTCCTATCTCTCCTGTGTTGGAGGTTTTCCCCTAGGTGTCCCTCTCCCCAAAGACCTGCCCTTTTGTTCCCT